AAGTAGAAAGTGTTGTTGCATTTAAATGGAAACACTTTGCAAGGAGTTCATGTTAGCAAAGGAATGTTCTTGTAACAGTTCTTTGGTACGAAGGAGGATATCATTTAGCATAAATGTTTCTTGGCGTTGATAAAGTAACGACAGAGGTTTTATTTCGTATAATTTTTTTTTTTTTTTTTTTCAAATAGAGTCTCGTATTTTTTCATTCATAGCATGATGGGGTTTGTTGAGACAAATATAATATATGACACAAGAAATTAACAGAACCGTTTAGAGAAGAATCAAGTGACACTGCTTTGGATTTATTCTGTCTTACTGTAACTTGGATGAATCTCGAGATAAAGTAAATTTGGAAAAATTGATTGTCAGTAAAAGCTTTACAACCAACAGCTTCAGTCAAAACTTTACTGCCGACTGAAGCTCTTCTCTATTAGAGTGTTAGAGTATTAGAGTGATACTGTTTCTTAGCATAATTCAAAAAATTTATAAAATACAATGGATAAAAAAATTAACTTCATCTTGAAATCTGTACCATTATTTTATCAAGACAAAAAATATTTATGTCGAATGATTCCTTCATATTAAACAATTTTTGTACGAATATGTTTTTTTTTTTTTTTTTTTTGATAACACGAACTTCTTGTTCTCATTTGTATATTATTAAAGTCTTTGGACAGTTTTAGTTCGAAATAATCTAATTGTAAGTATTTTTCAAATACATGGAAAGCAAAGTGCTATTTCTTCTTAATAACGAAAAGATGTGGATTTAAAGGGAGCTATTGCGCTGTTCTTTTCTTTCATATCTCATACTTGTTACTTTCGTTATTTCATACTCTTTCAATTTTGCATTTTAACATTCGTTTTTATATTCTTTTGATGAATTTCCCCCGTACTTTCCTCGTATATTCTTGGACTATTTTCGCAACTCTAAGACTGCACGCTTACCTAATTCATCGAGATATATCGAATGAAGAAAGAAACAGAGATGAACGATAAATAAAGTCTATTACGATCTCGATATATCCATAAATATTCCAATTAAAAACTTCAACACATCGGGCAAATTAGGCAACTTAGTAAATGCTGTCACGCAGGCAATTCGCCTGTTATGCTACAATTTTACCACATTCATTAGCTTCGATCGCGCGCCGATTGCCCAACAGCTTCGAATAATACACATCGCAGCAGGGAGATTTCTGCCGCTAACAAATCTACGTCCCAGCCTTAATCTATCGTACATCATAGTTACTTAATCGCGTATCTCGTCGTCCAATTATCTCCCCTCTCCTGCCCCCCCTCCACCCCCTTCTTCACGCAGCGTGCGCAACGAATTGTCCTAAAAATTGGATCGAACGGTACCTTCGATTCCGTTCGATTGCACAAACACGGTCTCCCCGCGGTGATGAAAAGTTCAGCCGGTTGGAAAAATCGACGAGAACGACTCTCGCGTTCGCTGATTACGGCGTAGCGCGGCGCGGATTCCTCCCCGAGCAGAAACCATCGTCGGCCGATCGTGCGAAACTCGTTACCCCGGAGCCGTTAGCCGCGCGAATAAAGAAGCAAAGTATATCGAGAGGCATCCTGACGAGCGAATCACGGAGCGATAACGTCGCCGCTTCTGATTTCCAGCGTAATCACACCGCCGCCCGGGGAACCTGTAACACCGAGTTCAAAGTCCTGGCAATTTCTGATGCGTTTCGCACGCATCCTCCGACAGACTGGCTCGGCTCTGGACGACTTCTGCGCCCGAGTAACAATTTATAAGTCACTCGAGGAAAGCACTCACAGATTTGTTAATAGTTTTCCTTTAGCTTTCCTTAGGTAGTTTCCTTCGCGATAGTTTAGAAATTTAATACTTGGAAGAAGGATCGATGATCGAATTTTTGTTTGATATTGGCGGTTTTTATAAGAATTTAAGTTCAAAGTCCTGATGTATGAATCTGGATTTCATTATATAATTGTCATGAGAAATATATTTCTGTAGTGAATATATATATATAGTTTTATATCGACCTCTACGAAAGTTACTACTTTTGAATAATGATTTGTAATGTGTACAACATGTTGAACCATTTTGAAGTTTTATACCCGATTGTCTTCCAATTTATTCGTTATTCCACAAAATGTTTCAAGTATAAAGTACTATTTTATTTCTCCAAGCGGATAATAATCTTATAACTCTCACAAATATTATTTATTGTTAGATGAACGTTTTCAAGGTAACTATTTTTTTCTTTTTTTCTTTTTAAATAGAATAGTATGATTTCATTTTGATGAAACGTATCTTTCTATTATCTTATATTCGTGTTAGGCGAATGTTGCGTCGTCAAACAATCTAACGCTTACAGCGAATTCTACCTTTACATATTCCGTAACAAGTTTATTTATCTTAATATATTAATATTATAAAGCAGTTGAAGGTATTAAAATTTTATTCCATTATATTGTCACCTTTCTATATATACGTGCAATTGCCAACACGTAGACAAAGGACAAAATTACTTTGCCGTATTAGTACGTTATCGATGAATTCGTCACAGAGTGAATGAAGCTAGATTCAATTTATCAAATATCAAAACTCTCGTTAACTAGACACTGACATTAACAATTAAGCTGTGCTTTTCTTCAAGTAAAAAATTTCATATCCACGTTCTGTCAAGATACCATCATTTCTACCGGAAGTGGAAGCTAAAAATTTCAGCCAGAACAGGAACAATCGACGACGGCAGCTGCCGTCTTAACGTATACGTGTAGTATCCATGAGTTACGCGGCACGAGAGAAAAGAGAGAGAGAGAGAGAGAGAGAG